CGAATTTTATTAATCTGCATTCTTATTAAGTGCCTACTATGTGCCAGGTGTGAAGGCTGAAGGTCTGGGGATTATCAATATAAGGCTGGGTCTCAAGATGCTTATAGTCTAAAAGAGGAGGTAGAGAAGTAAACCAGAAACTACAATAAATGTGATGTGTGCAATGATGAAATACCAAGTGATAGAGAAGGAAATTGCTCTGTGAGGGGAGAAGGAAGTCAGGGAAAGCTTCAGAGAGGATGTGACTTTTGAATAATATTACAAATTATAAAAAAAGAAGGGCATGCCAGGCGAAAATCAACATATCAGCCTAAGGTCCAGGGGTATGAAGGAACAATGTGTTTGGGAAGCCATAAGTAATAGCAAAATTGGAACTCGTTGGTTCAATGGAGGAATGAAGGGGAAGAACTGTAAGGGAAGCCTGAGCTGGAACACGTAGACCCTACGGGTTCTTCGGGAAACTTAGACTCCATCGTGTAAGCTATGGGAAGCCAGGCAAGAAGGACCAAGAAGGAGATGATGGAATTTGGATTTTAGAAAGACCCCTCTGACATTCAGTGTGCTCTGCTGATAATGTTGCAGACACCCAATGAATCCATCCTTTCAACAAGGATTTATTGGAAACTCCCTACTCCTTGTGCCAGAACTATGCCAGGCACCAAAGACACAACAGTAAGCAAAACCAGACATCCTGTTCTTGTGGCACTTGCAGTTTGGCCTGGGAGACAGACCTTAATCAAATGATTATACAAATAAATACAAAATTACAGTGGGGATGAATGCTACAAAGGAGAAGCACATGGTGCCAGGAGAGCATGTAATTGGAGCATTTGACTTTGCCAGCTGTCAAGGACAGCTTCTCTGTTGAGCTGAGCTCCAAAGCAAGAGTGTTGTGGCAAGGAAAGGCACTGAAGATTTTATGGGAATGGGGTTCTCCTGCTTTTGAATCCCCATCCAATCCACGTTTATCTTCTATGGTAAACAGATGCAGTAGACTTCAAGCAGGTCCTCAGGATCCAGCCAATACTTGGCACAGAATCCGTGCCCAGTTAAAATTTGAAAAAAAAGAAAGGAAAAGAAAGAAATCACTTTAGGTACTTTAGATATTTGAAGACAGCAGTAATACTCTCCAGAGTACTAAAAATCTCCTTCAGTTGTTTTTTCTGTGATAGTTTTAACTTCCTGTCACAATTCTGAACATTCTGCTAATTGTCAAGGTCTCTGTGACAGGTGATTTAAAACAGCATAGTTGTTACCTTGTGAAAACAGGGCTGGGCACTTGGAACCACTAGATCTGGGTTTATTTAAGCCCCTTATCATCATTCATTATCTTTCACCTCCTCAAACTTCTTCTTTCACAGGATTTCTATCAGAGTTAACTAAGACAATGAGAAAAAAAAATTGTATATCTTAAGAGGTAAACAAATATAAGATTTAAATATTTGGAGGGCTGCCATGTAATTGAAAAATTTGATTTATTCTTTGTGTCTCCAGAGACTAGAATTAAATAAATGGATAGAAATTACCACATGCAGATTTCAGCTCAACAGATGGAAGAAATACTCTAATAATCAGAACTACTCATCAGTGAATTAGCTGCCTTTTAGATGGTTAGTATCCATGTTAGAAATACTCAATACAAGAACGCTATGCAAAGAATTCGTAGGCGTGAGGAGGGTGGTTTGAATAACTTCTAAGGTTTCTTTTTAACTTTAGAACTCACCAATCTGTTAGTTAAGACAAGTGGAGGAAATGGGAGAGATCATGTGACAGAAAGAATGGAATGAACAGAAATTTGGAGAATGTGTGGGTAAACACGAGGTAATCCCAGAAAGAAACTGAGGGTTTGTGTTGGATCAATGAATTAGTGGAAGTCAGAGAAAAAATACTGGTTAAGCACATATATTCCAGACATATGTGATTTCATTTTAAATTTTGTGGGTGATTTCAGTCTTACCCTCTGGTGGAGGGGGGATTGTAGGTACCAGGAAGGCTTATATAGGATTGGAGGACTTCCTGTCTAGGAAACTACAGAGTGGGTTGGGTCCTGTCTTAGGGGCAGGGTGCGGGGAGGGGGTGTGTATTCTACAGTACAAAGTCTGGGTAGGTTTTAGGCTTTGTTGAAAATGCAAAAACTTTGATCAAAAAATACAATTTGAAGCCTCCGTATAGCTTGACTCTAATAATTTATGCAAACATTGTAACTCTCAGTTAATTCCTACATAAAATGGGGACTGAACTTGATCTGCTTCAGGTTGATGCAACAATTAAGAGAAATAACATGAAATAAGGGAATAACATGAAATAAGGGAATCCTGGAAGAGCACAGGTTTTGGAATCAGACAGACCTGGATTTGAATCTCAATCTCATAAACTGGTTGCAAGATATTAGGCTAGTTACATAACTTTTCCTCATTGGTAAATTAGATAATAGTATTTCAAGACTCTTGAAAATTTAATAAAATAAAATAGAAAAAATGTTTAGCATAACAATGCTCAATTAGTAGTTTAATTTTGTTCCTACAGGTAATAAATGAGACCCCATATATAAAGCACTTATCAAAATAGATGGTCAGCTGACTTTCCTCCATGATCCTGTGTTTGTCTTCCACATGAATCAGGTTGCTGGAGGCCAGGCCATTGGCTTGCTCACTCTGGTGTCCACTCTCTGGTATAATGTTCTGCCCATATGAAGAGCTTAATGAATGTCTGTTTTGTAGAAGTGAATTGATTGCTCTTGATGACATGGTCTTCTTCAAGTAGCCAGTGAGTCATGCCTCTTTCTTTCTCCTTCCTGTCTCCTTCTGGTTTTATTTTTGACTCTCATCAGTGGGAGAGGAATCAATGTTCATCAAAGTGATTTTTAAAAATAAAAGATAGAGAGAGGGAAGTTCAAGAGTGATTATCTAGGCTACTTTTGATTGAGCACAGGAGAGTGAGAGCTAGGTTGTTGTCTCTGATCTTTTTTTTTAAGTGAAATAACAAATAGCAAGATGAACAATAAGCAACAGCTAGCTATTCTGAACATTATTGAACACCTACTATGTACCTGACACTCTGCCAGATTACTCACATATTATCTCTAATGCTCATACAACCACTTTACTGATGAGGAAAATAAGGTTTAGAAAAGTTAAATAATAAAGAAGGTGATTAATGGTCCTATATTTGAGTACTTGTTATGAGTCAGACATTTTAAAACATCTTATTTAATTATAAACCCTCTATAAAACAGGCATTATTATTTCCATTCCAGACATGAAGAAACTGAGCTGAACAAATCAAACTGTCCAAAATCACACAAGTGATGAGTGGTGGAGTTGGAAATCAGAGCAAGACCTGCTCAACTCAATGCTTGGCCAATCCCTTTCTGTCACATCATTTGCTACTCTCTGAGAGAAGGATCACATGGAGGCTCTGACTGGAGCCAGCCCTGAGCAGGGTTAAATGAGCGGGAAGTGACACAGGGCATGAGATTTATCCTTTCCATCCGGGCAGACCCTGGGGAAACTAGCCCTACTCTTGGGTGCAAGCAAACATAATAACTGATGCCTGTATGGCATGTACTATATACCACAGATTGTTCCGAGCATTTTAGAGATAATAACTTTCTTAAGCTTCACACTAACTTTATGATATAGCTATTTAGTTAGTCCCATTTTATAGATAAAAAAAAACTATGACCTAAAAAGGTAAATTAGGGATTGCACAAGAATATGAATAACAGAAGACAGAGACCATTGGAAGCCAGTTAAGAGGTTGCCCACTATAATCACATAATAAGTTGTGCACTAGGGATTCTAACTCTGGAATAAGAAGTTTAGAAAGCCAATTCTGGAGAACATGCTCTTAATTTCATATGACCTCTTTGCTTAGCAAGTGATGATTGAAGCCCTACTATGTGCATAGCCCTGTGCTTGGCACTGGGAGTATAGAGATGAAACTGCTTACATGTACAAGCCCATTTATTAATTCCATACAAGGATTTCCAATTAACTGGGCATCAATTGGGTAACAGGACTCTTCTGTCAAAGAACTGGGCACAGGGCCAGGCTCCAGACAGAGATGGGGGACTAGGAATTCTCACAGAGAAAAAATATATTGCAGGTAGAGTGAGAAGAGGTGAGACTTGTTGGCAGTAACATTGCTCAGAAATCCTGCCTGGGTATCTAGATCACCAATATAAAAGGGTCGCTTATGTAAGATTCTTCTTATGTAAGATTAATACATGCTGATTGTAGATAAATAAGTGAAAAAAATATGAAGAAAAAAAAATCTTGGCAATTCTTGTTTCACACACTAGGCTTTTCATGTGTTTCTTTCCAGTTTCCTTCTCTGCATCTATAGTTATAGAAACCGATGTTATCTCACACGTACTTTCAGTATTCTGACATGAAAAATTCTTGTATTTTAAGCATTTTCTTATTGTTGATCATATACATTCATTGATGGTACTTTTTAACTAAGTAAAGTGCTAACAAATATTTTTGTGCATAAGTATTTGATTTTTGCAGGAAAAAATTTTGGAAGGAAAAATTTTGGGTCAAAGGGTACAACTATTTTAATGTTCGTGATCCTTTCAAATTGATTTCCAGAAACACTGAATTAAGTCTTTTCCCGGAGCAAGGTGTGAGGTTGCACATCTCATTCTATCTTCATCTGTAATGGGAATTAAAATTGAAAAAAAGCTAAACCCTTTTTACATAGTAATTATCCAATTATATTCCTTTTGTGGTCATTCCTCTTGCCCATTTTCTTTTGGGATTTTAATTATTTTCTCATTAATTTCCATGCAGTTTTGAAAACCATATTATTCTAGTTAGAGACACACATGGGGTTCAGGGTAGGAGAAAAATAACATTTTACTCTAGTTAATAAAAAAAAGACATACAACAGGTTCTCTTTAAATATACCTTGGATTACTAGTAAGTTGTCTTGGGGGCTTTTTAGGAACAAAAGTAGATTTTCTAGATGGCTAACTCTTTCCTCTTTCCACTTAGGACACCGCTGGGCAGGAACGGTACCGGACCATCACCACAGCCTATTATCGTGGGGCCATGGGCTTCATTCTGATGTATGACATCACCAATGAGGAGTCCTTCAATGCTGTCCAAGACTGGTATGAGACTCACTCACTCACTCACTCACTCACTCACTCACTCACTCACTCACTCATTCATTCATCAAACTGTTCATGAAAGCCTAATGTGTGGTAGGCCTTGTGTTGTGTGCATAGGAAATCTGAATTAATCAGACATGAGTCCTATTCTCAAGGAGTCCACAGAGGAAAGAAGAAAGATCAGTGAGTGGCAAAGAAAGTCTCATGTGACAGGTGCAGTGATGAAGAGATATACCAGACCTGGGGGAGCCCAACAGAGGACTCTAACCCAGCTGGGGGAGTCAGGCAAGGTCTCCTGGAATTGCCAACACATGCTGCATTTTGAAATGAACAGGAGTTAGCCAGAGGGACAAGTGGATAAGACTATTCCAGAAAAACAGTACAGCTAGATGTGCAAAGGCAAGAAGGTAGGTACGAAATAGGAAGAGCAGAACTCCTGCAGGATTTTATGTACTGGGGTAAGGAATTTGGGTTTTTCCCATAGTGATGACATGAATAAGGGACCAATAGATTCAAATTGAAGTTTTAGAAAGATCATTCTGGCCATGGTGGTGAGTGAATCCACATTCTACTTCCATATAAAGTTTACCCCCGGCAATACTGGGGGTCCTACAGCATATCTAGTGCAAGTTTATAAAGATTCAGTAGATAGTGGAAATCAGTATAGCTCCCTAGAGATACAGCTCTGAGCAACTTGCACATTTCTTCCTGGAATATAGTCATAGGCAGAAGGGAGCATGAGATGAATGAGAGGAAGCGGCCTGTGCCCCTAATTAATGGAAAGGATGAGGATGGGGAAGGTGACTTTCTTCAGAATCAGAGAGATTGAGCAGACTGGACACTCAGCACTTCAATGACCAGTCACAAGCTTGTCTCCTGCTCCTAAGGACTCCCCTTCTCTCAAGTAGTTATCATGACCTTGGGAAACACTGTTGATTCTCGGAGCCTTGAATGGAGAGTAACCTTGCCAGCTGCCTGCTGTAGCCACCCCCCTTTTGGAAAGCAGTCCTTGGTTCCTGGTGTGTCTGTTACTCATGGTGTTCTGTGTTCTCCTTCTCAGCCTCTCTGTTATCCTCTTCTCCCCTTCCATTTTTAAAAGCTCTCTGCCTTTCTTCTTTCTTCTTTCCTTCTCCTTTCTCTTTCATCCTCTTTTTTCTCTTCCTATTCTGCTTTCTTATTCCCTCTCTTGCCTCCAGTCATGATTTTTCTCCCCTCCTGTCCTCTTTCCCCTCACCTCCCACCATGGTGTGATTAAATGTCCCCGCACTGCTCATTCCCTCTCGGCCTTGACCTCCTTCCCTTTCTCCTTCAGTTTCTGTTCATTCTGCCCCAGGAACACAGTGATTTTAACACCTGGTGATGATTCCTCCAAGAATAACCTGAGTTGCTAATCTGGGAACTGAGAGTGGATAGGGGGTAGGAGGGGGGAGGGAGGCAGATGCCAGGAAGAGCAGTACAGGGAACTATGGAGAGCTGGCTCCTGGTACTGCCTTGAGGATAAAGACTGTCCATCTCTCTCAAGCCCTGGTCTTTGAGCTTTGACTCTTGGAAAGTTGGTCACAGCCTAACCCCCAGCTGCCATCTGAGTCCCAGTGCCCAGCATGGAACCTGGTTCTTTGTCATCCCATGACAAATGGTAGTTGAGTGAATTCCATCCTTTGTGTGAATAGCTTCTTACCCTTAGAGAAAAGGATGGTGGTGGGATCAGCTTTAGGAACAGATTGGTAATAGATTCAGGTTGCACTCAGGGTTGCGTTAGATTGAATGTCAGTGTCAGGATGGAATAGAATCAGATTTAAGATCTGTTTCAAGGCAACTATTTACTGACTTATTCATTCATCACTCAGTCACTGACATCTCCCCTGTTCTGTGCTGAGGGGCTGGCACTCCAAAGATGAATGATCCTGTTCCTTCCCTCAAGGAGAGAGAGGAAAAGGTATAGGGGACCAAAAGGGGAAATAACTGTTTTTACTAGAGGGGATACCTGGGGACAAAGTTAGACCTAATTCCACAAAATAATGGAATAAGCCATAAAATAAACCACAATATAATGGTCCTATTTTATTCCCTCTGTTAAATTTTGCTTCTCATTATAGAATATGGGCTCACTTTTAAAAATTTGAAAAGTATAGAAAATTATGTTTTAAAAATCTTATAATCATCCCACCACTGCTGACATCTTGTTTCCTACAAATAATCAAGATCAAAGGCCTCAGTGAAGGTTTATGAGTCACAGAAGAGGAGGGAGAAGCTAGTTGGGCTGGGGTAGGCTCCCTGCAATGACTTCTGAGATGAGCCCTGGATCTTGATGATGAGTTAAGGTGGGTAAGGGTTCCCACTATTAATAAAGGCACAAGTTATGAAAAAGCATTTGGGGAATAAATGAGAAGGTGGAGTAGCAGGGAGGGTGGTATGTTGGAGAGACAGGCTCTGAATTTTCTCAAATGCCTATTAGAGGGATCCATCGTATAGCCAGCTGGGACCAGAGAAGGTTTTTTAAAAAGGACTTATTATGTCAGATACACATTTTAGAATGAACCCTCTACCCAGTGAAGAAAGTTGTGTGCTCATGTATTAGAAGAATACTCACAAGAGCCAGGTGATGCTTGCATCCAGGGCTTGGGTCAGCATCTGTAACAGTCAGCGGGGCAGGTATCTGTCTATCTGTTCTCAGTTGGATTCACCGAAAATAATTTGGGTGTTTTAACCCTGTGGAAGGGAAATGATTTCTTCAAGCTTAGCAGGGTCCTTTCTGGCCTAGGAGGGTATCATGAACACAGTCCCCTCTCTCTGTCTCTCTTTAGGGCTACTCAGATCAAGACCTACTCCTGGGATAATGCACAGGTTATCCTAGTGGGGAACAAGTGTGACATGGAGGAAGAAAGGGTTGTTCCCACAGAGAAGGGTCGGCAACTCGCAGAGCAACTCGGTATGTGCAGAATACGTGTGTCTGTGTGTGCATGTGCACATGGGAATGGAACAGAGGGGGCAAATATTTGTAATTTACCCATTAAATGTGTTGTGATGGTGAATTATGTGTGCATGTGTTCTGTATGTTTCATTTTATATCTGTTATACATACAGGTTTTGCGCTAGTGAATTTTAGGTGACTCATTATTTATGAGCATGTATATTGTGTCATATTGAATGTATATGTGAAATTTAAATTTCTGAACTCTTGGTTTTACCAGCTCCTTCCAAAAAGGAGTTGAGTTGTCTTATTAAAGTCATAAAAGTACATCAATAAAAATAAATAAGTGAGAAGATTGGAGCAAAGGGGAAATACAGGTAGGTGGAAAATAAGAGAAAACCAGGAGAGATAAGTATGTGTGTTATGAATCCTTAGAAATGTGCAAGAAATGGGCCAAAATATTGGCTTTAAGCTTCCTAGCAACCTTAGCAAAGGAAGGAAACATAATCAGTTACATGGTTGTTAAGAGAAAAACAAATGTGTTGTGATAGAACAGACTCTATATGCTGAATGCAACAATGTCCTTAATACCAAACATCCTTACAGAAACAATGCTGAAACTGGTAAGCTGAGCCACATAGTTTTCTCTCAATGTTGACTGATGCTTCCTCACTAAAACATAATTCACAACAAATGTAATTGCATGAAGGGACAGAACAATGTGGTTTAAGCATGTAGCTCAGTGATGCTCTGATTTTTTTCCCAGTTAAAGCATCTCGATCTTTGGGCTTCACTAAGGTCTAAGCGCCTCAGGCATGTCTCACCAGCCCCATGGCAGGACTTCTACTGATGAGAAAATATACTATTGAGCAAATGGATATTATAAAGATCCCAGCCGGACTTCCAGCCCAGGTGCAATTAACACCCCAATGCAGGCGTAATTAACAAGTTTGCTTACTTACAACTTTCTCTTTAAAGAGTCATGGCTGGGGCTCAGCACTCCTGTGCCTGGGGTGAAAGACCAGAATTTCTGTAACACTACAAATACTTACTTATAAGAACAGCTTTTCCTTTTTTCCTTTTTTTTTTTTAATTCTCTTCCTTTCCTTTCTTCATTGGGGTTAAATATAAGATCACATTAGAGAAATCTTCCTCACGATGAATGCTTAGCTTCGAGCCAGTTTCCCTAAGCATTGCTCACAATCTTGGTGTTAAATATTGAGGAGCAAAGAATTTAAAGTTATACTCTGAGTTTCTGAAGTACAATATTTGGACAGGTAGGCAGGGAAATATATAAGTGTAATATACAAGAGTGAGTTGTGTGTTGTATGTATTTGTACTGTGTATATTATGAGTACATGTCGGGGGGAGTGTCCAGTACATCTCTCTCCCCTTCCCTACTCTCCAGGATGACCTGGAATAGAAATTAGTAAACTGTAGGTTCTTAATAAATAGGGAGATTGGGTCACATTAGGTCTTGCTGTTCTTACCCTATCACAGAGGTTCTCAGGATCTAGAAAATGGTTCCACTTATCACAAAACAGTGAGCACGCGGTAAAGTCCACTATTAAGTGACCTCAGCCTGTCTCTTTATGCCTTCCACCTGCTGTCCCCAGTGAGAATCCCAGCACCCTCCCTTGACCAAATGTGCCTATCTATTTGGGGAGCTCTCTTCTAGTTCCCACCCTAACTCTCATCAGTCAGTGAGAATAGCACAAGCTTCACATTTCCCAGGAAGTCTTTCCAGAGACCCTCCAACCTCCTTTCTTTGTGCCCCAAATTACTGTACCCATATACACCACAGTCATAATACCCATTACACTTGGGTGAACTTGTTTACTTGCTCATCTCCTGAAAGCTTCTTGAGGACAGGAAATGAGTCTTGTTTATCTGTGTACACACAGTGCTTCCCAGACAGCCTGACATAGATACTGCAAAAATAGGTTTGGATCAATTGTTTTGCTTTGTTTTATAGATTTATTTTCAAAGGGCAAAAACACTTAGACAATCTAATACAAGTCAAAACAGAATTACCCTGTCAAAATCAGAGATGATGCCAAAATGTGTCCTTACTTCCAGACACTTGCCAATATCTTGGAGTCCTCTCTCAATAGAGAAAAAGGACTGATATCTTGATCATATATATCCTCCTTATCTTCAATGTAATCTATCATTTCTTATGGATACATTAACTTCTCCACATCTGTATCATGAATTTCATACCCAAATTCATCCTCCATGACCATGATAATTTCCATTTGGTACAAACTGTCTAAGCTTCAAAAAGGGCTTATTCTCACTTTCCTGGATCTAACAGGAAATGAGTCTGGCCAGTAGGGAAATGCACTTTTTCTACAAGGGAAGTACTAATCCGTTCAAAATGTGGTTTTGAAATACCTACATACACACACTCCAGTAAAGTGTAGTGGAAATAGCCCCAGATCAGGAGTTAGGAGATTGATGGTTTTATCCTGCTTCTGCCACTATTTTACTACGTGACCTTGAGAATCTTGTTTCCTGTCTCTGAATCTCAGTTTACCATCTGAAAAAATGGGATTTAGATTAGTTGAGTAAGAAGGTCTGTTTGACTCTATCCCTCTATAATTCCATAATTTCATTTCACACAATTCCTCACTCATCCCTCAGTTATCTCAGACTCTTAGGCATTGTCTTACTTATTTAAGCTGCTCAGAAAATGTTTTTTGAATTGGGACAAACAATAAAAGCTTTGCATCACTGAATCTGGTTGAAAAGAAATAAAGACCTAGCTGGACCTGATAATGGCTAGCTTTAGTGCAGTGATTTATAGTTCAACTTGTGCCTCCACAACAATTCTCTTTGTAACCCTCACTCTCACTTCTAGCCTGGAAGGTGACATTATCGACAGCTCTTACACTGAAGAAAAAGCTGAGTCCAGACCACTTGTGGTTTTTTTGCACACAGAGAGCTGTGCCACACTTTTGTGTCTATATTTTTTTTCCACTGGAAGATTATGTAACTTTCTCAGTCATGCAAGGTAGTAGGTGGCAGGCCCAGTACTCAAACTGATAGCCTTTTTTTTTCAATTATAAATTTTATTTTTATATTCCCCATACAATTGCGACCCCCTTATTTTGACCCCAATTCCTCCCCTCCCCGCTCCCCTCCCCCCATACTGTGTCTCTGGTTCATAGTTGTTTGTTGATTTGGATTTTTACTTTCTTATAGTTATTCTTTTTCCTGGTCCCTTATTTAAGTTTTCTAGATTCCTGCTGTGACTGAGACCACCTGGTATTTTTCTTTTTCTTTCTGGCTTATTTAGCTGAGCATGATCCCTTCCAGCGCCATCCATGTTGCTGCAAATTGCATGTGTTTATCTTTTTTGAATGCTGAGTAATATTCCATGGTGTCTATGTACCACATCTTCTTGATCCAGTCATCTATTTTTGGGCATTTGGGTTGTTTCCAAAGCTTAGCTATTGTAAACAGTGCTGCTATAAACATAGGGGTACAGGTGCTCTTTGGAATTGATGTTTCTGTGTCCTTTGGGTAAATACCTAGTAGTGGAGTTGCTGGATCATATGGAAGCTCTATGTTTAGTAAGTCAAGAAATCTCCACACAGCTCTTCATAGTGGTTGGACCAGTTTGCACTCCCACCAACAGTGCAGGAGAGTTCCTTTTTATCCACATCCTCGCCAACATTTGTTGTTGCTAGTTTTTTTAATATGTGCCATTCTCACTGGTGTAAGATGGTATCTCATGGTAGTTTTGATTTGCATTTCCCTGATTACAAGTGATGTTGAACATTTTTTTCATATGCCTGTTGGCCATTTGCATTTCTTCTTCAGAGAAGTTTCTTTTTAGCTCTTCTGCCCATTTTTTTTATTTTATTTTTTTTTTTTAGAGGCATGTTTTATTTATTTTTTTTTTTAGAGGCATGTTTGTTTGCTTGTTTTGTTTATACATGCACTGGGTACAGTCAGAAGCGCGGGAGGGTGAGAGAATTCACCAGAGCCAGAGCAGGGAGCAGAGCAGGCAGAAGGACTGAAGTACACTGCTGAGGGGAGCAGCGGGCGACAGGAGAGGTCTGCGCGCCATGTGGGACCCTCCTCCGGTGGCCGGGGAGTAGCCGGGGATCGAACCGGCGTCGCAGAGGCCGCGGGCAGCTTCGCAACCCAGCGCTCAACCACTGTGCCACCGGGGAGGCCCTCTTCTGCCCATTTTTTGACTGGATTATTTTCTTTGTTTTTGTTGAGTCTCATCAGCTCTTTGTAGATTTTTGTGATCAGTCCTTTATCATTAGTGTTGGGTGCAAAAATGTTCTCCCAGTCGGTGGGATTTCTCTTTGTTTTTGCTATTGTCTCTTTTGCTGTGCAGAAGCTCTTTAATTTGATGTAGTCCCAGCTGTTTATCTTTGCCTTCACTATCACTGCTTTGGGTGATGTGTCTGTAAATATGTCTGTGATGTGCATATCATGTAGTGTTTCGCCTATATTTCCTTCTATGTATTTTATGGTTTCAGTTCTTATGTCTAGTTCTTTAATCCATTTTGAGTTGGTTTTTGTGTATGGTGTGAGGTAGTAGTCAAGCTTCATTCTTTTGCATGTAGCGACCCAGTTTTCCCAGTACCATTTATTGAACAAACTTTCTTTGCTCCAATGCATATTCTTTGCTCCTTTGTCGAAGATTAGTTGACCATAAATCTGTGGGTTTATTTCTGGATTTTCTATTCGATTCCATTGGTCTGTGTGTCTGTTCTTGTTCGAATACCATGCAGTTTTGATGATTATGGCTTTGTAGTATAGTTTGAAGTTTGGGAGTGTGATGCCTCCATTCCCTTATTTTTTTTTCAGGAGACCTTTGGCTATTCGGGGTTTTTGGTGATTCCATATGAATTTCATCAATAATTGTTCTATTTCTTTGAAGAATGACATTGAAATTTTTATTGGAATAGCACTGAATCTGTATATTGCTTTTGGTAGGATGGCCATTTTAATAATGTTTATTCTTCCAATCCATGAGCAGGGGATGTCTTTCC